AATCATTAGGGCATGCACCAAGGCCAGGCATTAGTAATTATCTCCCAAAACCTGCTGACAGATGAGCTGTTCACACCCTAAGTGCAGGAATATCCAGAGGATGTTGGAGTGAATCCACCCACCATTCTATGCCATCAGTCTACCACTGAGTTTAATTAGCCCAAAAAGATACTGATAAAATCTGCTTATTTGTTTATTTATGCAAAAAATACATTTATTTTGATAGAAAGGAAACAAATATTTCGTGTCTAGTACCTCTTCTAAAATACAAACCTAGTTTTTTAAAAGTCTAATATAGAAGTCTATTTTTAATTTCTAAGTTTCAATGGAATCAAAACATCTTAAAATTCTTAATACAATTAAATTTACTTAGGGTAAATTTGAAATAAAATGAAGGAATAATTCACTCTAATTCTAATGACTTAAGTAGAGAAATTCAGCTTGGAAAGATGAATGCTAAATCAAGTAAAATTTATTTAATTGATGATATTAAATTATTTAAAATTATATATCCTATCATAAAATTCTATTGATCTTTTGGTAACACTTAAATAAAGATGACTTTTGGTTAGCAAACACCAAAAGAAAGCATATTTGTGTTCCAAGATAATATTCAACTATATTGAAAAGTTGCAAATTTTGGACAATATTGGCTTAAAATCAATATCTTTTCTTTACAGATTATGATTAATAATCCCTTCCATATGTAAAGCTAGAAATTATTTTGAATCTTTGTCCATGTTTGTCATATATAATTTACAAAAATTTTCATAGCAATGTTAATATAAATTTATTCAATTATTCTTAAACTGATAACATTGAATTTCAGAAATTATGCTACAGTTATTTTCAACATACTTAAGTTTTAAAGTAGGAATTAACTTAATCTTCATAAGTACACATAAGTAATTCATAAGTACTACATGAGTAATCATTTCAAGAGTCATACAAGTTGTGATATTAGTTTGTTCTAATTATTACTATTATCTAACAAGTTATATCACTTTACAACTTAGTGAAGTATTAATGATACACCCAAATGGAATGTAGTAATAGATGTTTCCATTTTGGCTATGTGAATTAATATGTAGCTATCTCCAGTACATCCATGACTTAAAGGAGGAAAAATCCTTTCTCCGTTTTCCTAAAATCGAAGGCTTTTTTTTCATATAAATAAATTTCAGTCCATTCAATGCTTTCTGTCTGGTTTTTACTCTTTCTGGAGAACAAACCAAAGGTACAAGGACAACAAGAGAGTACTCAATGCACCCTCAGCAGGATGACAGAGGAACGAGTAACCAATAGTAACAAACACAAAGGAGGCCTGAGCATGCTGTTTCTCTGGCAGAGTCCTGGCTCTCTTGCTCATTTTCCAAATGCAATTATCACCACTTGCTGTATTTTCTGTGAGATTCTTAGATAAATCTTCAACAAATTACTCATACCCTAAGTCTTTTAAAATTATTTTCTTCAATTTTCAAGAAAGAACTTTAGATACTTCTTCATCTTATTCCATTTTATGTTGCTATAACAGAATACCACAGATTGAGTAATTTGTAAAAAGCAGAGGTATATTTTTTACAGCTGTACAGGTTGGAAAAAAAAAAAAAACTGAGAGGCTGCATGTGGTGAAGGCCTGCTTGCTACATCATAACGTGGTAGAGAGCATTACACGACAAGAAAGAGCAAGTGGTGGAATTTGCATTGGCATTAAACCAGACATGAGATTGGAGCTCTAATAACCTCAGTATCTCCCACGAGGCTCCACCTCTCAGTACATGCTTTTATGGGGAAATAAAACTACAGAAGTATTGCATAATCTAATCTTACAAAATTTTATGTAGGATGGATAAAAGTACTTTAGTAATTTTGTGAGAGAAAATACTTATGAAATATTCATCAACAAAATTTAAAAATCACCAGAAGCATGTTCTATTGCTAAGTGTGATGCTACTTACTAGAACAGTTGCATCAATTTTAAAAGAATTCTTAGATATTCCAGTACCAAAATACAATAAATTAGTTTTTTTCTCAATTATATTTGTATTGAATATTTAAGTGCAGCACTTTTTCTTCTTCCTTGTTAAGATTATTTTTGGTTCTAGGGATTGAACCCAGCGCACTGTAGATGCTAGGCAAGTGCTCTACCACTGAACTACAGCCCCAACCCCTATTTTTCAAGTCTGTTTTTATTTGTGAATCCTAATTTTTCCATGATAACAGTATCTACAAAGTAATTATAGTATCTGTCTCACAAAGGTGCTATGAGGGTTGAATGAGCTAATGAATAATAAATTTAATTTTTTAGACAAAATAAGTGTATGTCAGTAAGAATAATATATTAAGAATAAAAATTATTTTATATTATAAATAATACACATTCCACTCCATGCTGATGTATATGTGAAGTTAATCATTTCATTAAATGTAAACTTTGTGAGTGCAGTGACTTCAAATGATTTGTTCACTGCTGTATATTCAGGACCTAGAAAATTTCTAGCACATAATATGTATTAAGTAAGTGCTTGTAGAATGAATTACTGAAAATTATTAATTGCATATCCTACTTTATATTATCCATTCGAGAACAGGTAGAGCATCTTTGTGTAATATCATAGCTTTGCAATAAAAATTTCATAAAGGAGTACTATTTGCCCAGGTTCTAGCCAAGCAGTAGCAGAAAAAGAAAAAGTTTTATTTGGCCACATTACATAATATGTGAACCTAAATTCTGCATCCATAAATTACAACCGCTGTAACCTTAGAACATTTACGGTTTCTTCTCAGATCAATTGAGGTGGATTGAATAAAAGAAATGTCATATAATACCAAGCCAGAACTTGAATATAAGTTTGTTGATTCTAATCCACCACAAACTTTGGATAACTCAAAAAATTCACAAAAGAATATTTAATTGAGCTATGTTTTATATTACATACTTCCTAATAAATGAAAAAGAAAGTGACAAGGAGTCTTTATAGGAATTACTTACAATTAATAAAAAATTTAAGCCAAATTTTATTTGGTACATTTTCTCTCTAAAGATTTCTGTTTCTCATTATACAGATAGAAAATTCTAAAAGAAATCTACAGTTGAGAAGAGTCTTTCTTTTTTGATTTATTCATTTTCTTCGATAAACCATCAAATATTCTAAAGTCACTGATAATACATAAAAATTTTAAGGTATTACTCAAACCCAGATAATTTGATAATTCATAGTAACATCAGATGCACCATGATGATCACAATAGAAAATAATTTCAGAATGCTAATCACTTCAGGAAAGTTTTCACATATCGGAACAGAATCCAGAAAATAAAAGTGTTGAAAATCTTTAAAAATTTAAAATACATGCAGTACTAATAAAAATCAAATATATTGGACACAATATTAACAAAGTAAGTATTTTACCCCTAACTGAACTACAAAAATGACTTTCCCAAAACAAACTTACTCACAATTAAGCAATAGTAGTTAATTTCTCTTCATTTTTAATGTATCATTAATTTCAGTACAGTAAGTCCTTGACTTACAAACATTCAAGATGAAAACTTTCAAAGATCCAAACAGACCTCACATTATGAACATTGTAAATGCAAATAAATTGTGGAAGTAGCTCGAGTGTCTGCTGGCATTGTCACGGTTGTGCTGCTGTGTGCTTGCTGTACAGCGTGATAGTACACAGTAAGTAGTACAGCGCTCAGTTAGAGCTCAGGTTGTCCAGAAACAAGAGCAAAAGCAGTGGTGATGTGGAGGCGACTTCCAGGAAGCACAAAGCAATATACACTGTATAATTGTGTCAAAGGTGTATAAGACTCACTTGTTCAGACATAAGAATGAACCTGACTATTGAAAATATGGCATCAGATGTAATCATTAGTTAAACTGTTGCATAAGCAGCAATTATTTGTCATATAGTCATTAAAAATAAATAGAAACATAATGAAATTCTCTACAAAAGGGTGTATTTCAAACATTTTGTTAGTTTTACTATAGCCATAGTTAAATTAAGCTACTGCAGGTAATTTTTATGCTATTTAATAATTCAACAAATATATTTTTTATAAACTCACTTTTCAATGAGTAACTTTTGGTTGTAAGAGAGTCCTCAATTTTAGATGGCTTAAAAACAGAAGAAAGTTTATTGTTTCCCAAGACTGAAAAAACCAGTCTAAGACATTTTGCTCTCTGTTCAGAATGAACAGAGATAAACTGAAATTCCAACATAACGTTATTGCTTAAGTAGTACAGGTTGAAAAACTCCTACAGCTTTGATTAGGAATATATTGTTGATACGGATCAATTTGGGAGGAACTGACGTCTTTAATCCATTGATTCATCTAACATGAAAATATTTTATTTATTGTGGTCTTGCTCTTTTAGCAGTATTTGCTAGTTTTCTGTTTAGAGCAATTGACATGCTTACTAGCATGTATCTGAAATCTGTACTACACGACAACCATGGAAGTGTGCTGTTCAAATATCTTCCCACAAACTATTAGGAATGGCACAGTTGACTACATGTTCCAGAAATTGTCTCTCTGGTACCACTACTATGTTTGCAACAAGGCTTTTCCCAACCAGTGACTGAGAATATCAAAGATAACAGTGTTGTCCTCATTTCTGCCTGATGCAAGATTCCTCTAATGTACAACTTTGTGCAGGGATACATAACTGGCCACGTGAAGATTTCTTCAAGTTGTGTTGCTGTCTGAGGCCTTTCCTGCCCAATCCTTTTCTCTCTCAAGTGTAAGATTCCTATGACAGTTTGGAGGATTTCCTTGCCCATTTTTTTCCTTTACAGCATCAAATTTTGATTATGCTAAATATTACGTATATATATATAATATATCACTATAATTTCTGTGGTCTTTTTCTTAAAATTAAATAGCTTATAAAATATCATTTTGAAGATGCAGAATACAAAAAAGTCAAATTATTGGAGAACTAATATTTTATCACTGATTTTCTTGTTTCATTTTTTAAGTAGTAAAAAAACAAACATGCCTGAAATGTTTTCTAACTAAGAAACCATGTATCCATCTTTGAATGATCAAAACTGGTGAGTTATGAGCAAGAATTACATTAATTCTTGAAATAATATATGTAATATTATTAATTTCATCCTCATAGCTTTTTCCCTGTATAAAGAAAATATATTCAATGATGTTTCTCTTTCACAAAAATATTTCTAAAATTCATTATAAACTTGGCAATGTAATGATATAAAGAAATTAGTAAAATATTCATAGGCATCTTATAGATAATAGTTAAGTAATCAGTACATTTCATAGCAATTTTATTAAAGTAAAATATCAAGAATCAGTATCATCAAGTAATTTCAATTCTCTACACAAAATACAAGACTATTGGTAACAGTCTGAATTCAAGATTCTTATGAAAATTTGGTAACATATATGTAACATTTTGACCATAATCATTCTGATCTCTCAAAGTAGTGGCATAGACTGGTGGCCAATGAAATTTTAACAGTAAGCTGTGGATCACCATAAAACTGATATGTGTTGAATTCATAAAGTTACAGTAGTTTAAAATGTTGTAGCTAACTAGAATGTTAGACGCTTTTATTTGAACATATGCATTCCCATGGGAAAGAAATTACCTTTAAGAAAGATCTCCTTTCTTGCAAATCTTTAGATTTGAGATCATAAACTCATTATACCTCATGGATCATTGATCATTGATCTAAATACTCATTGATTGAGTGGATATAAGGTCACTACTATTTGTGTTTTCAGTGTAGGATAATACATATAAAGATGTCATTTGCATTATTCTAAGGCACCTAACTGAAGATTACTATCCCTGTAATGTTCAAAACAGACACCTCTCCCCCCTGTATACATGATTAGCTATGTACTGCTGCAAATCACAAAGCATTGTAAAAAATGTGCTGCTTCAGATTTATACTTTCAAACATGACATCAAAATTAATTCCTATTTGTTCACCGCTTCAAAACCATAATATGTATTATAGCTGGAGTTAATATTCCAAAATTCAAGTCTGATCACTGGGCAGGCTTGCTTAATGTATTTACTTGGTGGCACCAGAAGATCAGTTAAATGTCTTGACTTGGCACAGAATGTCCTTCATGTTCTCCTTCTTTCCTACTTACTCAGATCTCCCTTCTTCACCCTGCACAGTGCCTTACGCTACGGCAATATCCAACCTCTGAAACTCTTGAGAAGTGCCTGTCAAGCACACCTCAATGCTCTCTACACTTGCCATTCCACTTTCTCAACTGCCCTCTCAATGGACTTTCGGAAACCCTGTTCTCACCCATCAGATCTGACAGTGTTATACTGACCTGGGCCCTGGAATCCTGGAAAGAAGCAAAAGTTAAGAAATCTCCTCGTCTCTGTTTTAGGAAATGGCTCACTGTAAAGCTGCACTCTTCCTCTTGTGACTGACACACATAAATGCATAAAGTCCCTCTTGTTTCTCTAAAAGGCCTGACACAGATATATCTACTAATAATTAGCTGAACTATATAGTCCCCACTGTTCTATCAAAATAAAATGAAAACTTTGGTTAAGATTTTTCCTTCCCCTCAGTCTGATCCACCTTCAGCCTGAGCCAACAAGCAGCATCTCCTTACAGGCCCACCTGAGAATAGAGTCACAGAATCAAGCATACTCTGATCTACTGTCAGGTCATGACACTCCATTTATCTCACCTTCTTACACCAGAATCTTTCTAGTCTTATTTGTTCCTTTCTAAAATCAAAAAACGTTTTGCCTAAACTTTCAGACCTTTGCATATCTTGTACTATTAAGGTCACAGCCTTGTCTCTATTACAAAAGCCCCCTTGCCTGTCTTTGTCAATAGTCCTTTCTCTGACATGAAATAAGCCTTTCAAATGAAGCCATCTACTTACTAAATCCTGATTTTTAAAAAAAATCTGGCATTTCTACCACGATACAATTATTGACCTATTTTTGCCACATATGCTCACCAAGTTTAACAACTTGTTATCACTCCTTCTAGGATTAAGTTTCCTGGTTAATAATTGGCATTTAATTATCAGTTTACTATCAAATCACACTTCTGATTTTTCTACTTTTTAATTTTGATTTTTGAGTCTTTATTTTTGGTTCTTCTTCTGAAAGACATTTAAATATTTGGGTAACTCATGATTTTATTTATTTATTTATTTATTTGTTTGTTTGTTTGTTTATTTATTTTTGAAAGAAGACCTTGCTATGTAGTTCAGATTGGCCTCAAATTCACTATGTACCCCAGGCTAGCCTCGAACTCACTATGTAGCCCAGGCTGGCCTTGAACTCTCAGAGATTCTCCTACCATAATCTCACAAGTGCTGGAATTACAGGTGTAGCCACCATGCCCAGCTAATTTTTTAATCTCTAGTACCTAATTTAAATTTTCTTTTAAGCCTCTGTTTACTAAAGTAGGTTTTTTCTTTCTTAAATTTCTTTTTTTTCCCCCGTTAAGTTTATTGGTACATTTTAGGTATAAAATACATTTACATACATCATTGGGATCTTGTACCATTACATGAGTATTTTGGTTTTTAATTTTTTCCCTTCCCCCGCCCTCCCTTCACCTCCTCCACCCTTCCCTATTTGCAAAGATTTTGTTTCCATTTTTCTCCTTTTCTCATATTTTTTTCTTTTCCCTTCTTTCCTTTCCCCTACCTCTCCCACTTCCCCTGCTCCTTTAGACCTTTACTTCCTATTACACAATATCAATTATACATTTTTTAAATTAAAATATCAAGACCTAGGAGACATTACCACAGATTTTACATAACTTAAAAGGATATAGAAAGCATATTTCAAAAATCTGTTTTGAAAGAAATTTGACAACTTCTAAGAAGTACCTTGGAAGACAAATGAATGAAACTAACTCTGGAGAAAATAAAAAATTTGAATAGCATCTATTAAAAGAAGTATATTCCTAGCTTGAAAACCTACCTATATGACAACAACAGACTCATATACATTTTAGCTGATAAATTATATCAAACATTTAAAGCAGGAAAAAAAAAAGGAACGCCTCTCCCCTCGTTTTAGGAAATCAACATTGTGCTAATCCTAAAACTGGATAAAGATAATAGAAGAAAAAAGTATGAACATAGATAGGAATTTGTTTAACA